AAATTACTGAAATTTGTTCATTTTGCCTACTTTATGCTTTATTTTAAATTTTTTAGGAATGAAATATACATGTACTAATTCTAGGTAAGCACTGTTTTACAGAGACAGTTTTTAAAATGTATAGAAATTGGAAACTAGAACAAAAATATTGCTTTAAATATAAACTTTTGGGCAATTAAAACTATTTTTTCACAGTTAATAATGCTTTACTTTTGCTTACGATTATTTATATCTTTGTTTATTATTATTTAAAACTACTTAAAATTTATTTAGCACTTCAAAATGAGGAAAATAATTAGTTGTCTGTTTTTGCATTTCATGTCTATCCATTATTTTAAAAAGAGAGCAATTTGATTTATATTTAAATTACCAACAGTTAAATTTTCAATAAAATACATAATAATAAATATAAAAAAAGATTTTTTTGGAAAAAATAATTTAAGCTAATTCTACATTAAAGTTGATATTGTAATCCATGTTATCGTCACCAACCCAGAAGATATAAATATAATTTCTATGTTAGAAATTTAACGGTAAAATGGTTAAATAGCGATTTATTGATTTGTTATTTTACCGTTTTCAACCAAAACAGTCAAAGAATCATAAAAAGATGATATTTTAACTATTAAGTGTACGAAAAAACGCTTATTTATTATTTTTACCTTATACAGTTTAAAAACCAGAATTCTATTCCCGCAAACTAGGTACACCTTATGAAGCTTTTTAGTTCCATGCAGCTGAGTACATACTATAGCATAGCTGAGAAGGCTAATCAGTAAATTTCCTGACCTGCTGAACAAGGGTGCTCAGCAGGTCAGCAGATTCCCAGTGTTGACACCACAATATTAAATCCCAGTGAAAACACCACAATATTATTGGTAAATGGTAACATTTAGCATGCTTCTGGTTCAAAGGGAATACCAAAATGCTCGGAAATTTTTACAGAATACTTTAGTAATGATTTTAGTAAAATTAACAGTAAAATTTGGTTTCATAATAAGTGATAAAATTTGGTAAATGTGGTAATTTTATCATAATACCTTAGAGTATGGCATTAAAACTATTTATTCGGATAAATTTATGTTTAATTTTTGTATTTTCTACTATGTTTCGTAATAAGAACTATAATTTTGAGAAGCAGAATTTCCGGTAATCCTTCATAAAATAAATGGAAAAATCACCAAATGGATCGTTTAGATAACACATATCTTGGTTTTATTAACCAAAATTTCCATTAATTTCATTCCATCCAAGATTTCCACAAATGTTAGGAAGTCAACTACTCAAAAAATATTTTTAAGGAAAGATGAATGGGAAATTAAACGCCATGATAAGGTCGATATCTTAAAATTAAACAAATGCCTTTCTATCGTTTAAAACTCAACATTCAAGATTAATCAACCAAGAAAATTATAATATTTTTTAGTATAAAATTTGAAGTATTGTGGAATATATGGATCAATATTTAAAGAATGTATTACAATATTATAAGATATTCTTATCTTTGATGATAAAAATTCAGACTTGAATAATACTTTGAAAGACATATAAATTTGGCTAACAAATAACAGAAATAAACATAAATTTCTTTGAAAGAAAAAAAAATTTATAAGGTAAGAGATCGAAGAAATTTATTAATCCTGAGCAGAATATTCATAACATGTCTTTTTTTTAAATTTTTTTTTTAACCGTGTTTTTAGAAAATACTTACAGAAAAATAAAACATATTCTTCCACATCCAACTCCAATCAAACTGTTTCAATTTTGTTCTTCAACTAAATATGTATACTATATATACTATGTAATTTGATAATCGAATAAAATTCAATCTTTGATTACAACAATTTCTTGTATGAAAATTCAATCAAATACAAATGTATTGAAACCAGTTCTCCCTTATTTCAGTCTTCATAAAATTCACTTCAGTTTTCGTTTCTTTAAAACAAGATAATTAATTTATCGATGAAATGTATTTATAGCACAATAAAAAATGCATATGTATTAACATTTGTACGAATTGTATTATTCAATATTTGAAATATAATTTTAACATTAAAAGGTGTTACGTTTTGTTTTTAGAAGAAAGAAGGGAGTGTATTTGTTCAAAATTAAGCACTGTTTCGATATAAAACCGCATTACGTTTGTTGAATGTTTAAAATTTAAGAGAAAGTAAATATTGATACTTACTTCAAATTCTATTTTTAATAACACTTCATTGATTAATTTTGCTATTTCCAGAAGTTAAAATGTAGGTCTTATTCAACACTTAAGGGGTTTAGACCTTTAAGTGTTTGAGCAACGAAACTTCAGAGTGAAATAAAAATAATTGCTATATTCTTGTAAATTTTACATTTAAATATGTAACAAAAATATTTACGGATTATATCTTTCAGAGGGCGAAATTTACATAAAGATGTGAATTTTTGAAGAAAAAAAAATACTTCATCGGAACATAATTAAATCAGGAAAATTTATAAAAATAGATTATAATTGGACTAAATGTCTTGCAGATTTTTATCATCAAATAAAATTTTTATCAATGGATTACAAAATCAATACAATGAATCATAGGGTAAATATGTATTATTTTAAATCATAGTATTTTCCGTAATTTATTTTCAGTTAAATGGTAATTTCTCTCTTTTTCAACAACTAAAATAAACTAAAAGGACACTTAACGCAATGTTAAAGGGGAGAATTAAAAAATTTTGTAAAATTACAGCACTATACGGTAATGTCATTTCTGGTAAAAGAAACCGTAATTCTGGTATTAAAATCCAAAATATATGGCATTTTAAACATTCATTTGGTAATTTGTCCGTTAATATGGTAATGGTTAACCCGAAATTTTGATTTTAAAAATTATAGTACTTATTACCACACATTTAGTAATAAATTTAAAACTGAAAAGTAAGTTTAACTGAATAAATATTATTTATGCCATGCTCTAAGATACCATGATAAATGTACCAAATTTTACCACATTAACTCAATTTTATGACATATTACAAAACGATATTTTATTGTCTATTTTACCAAAATGATTACCAAAGTGCTTCCGTAAAGATTACTGTGCTTTTTGGTGTTCTTACGCAGCCAAACACGCAGTGAGTTTTACCACATTTGAGTAGTTTTGGTTATAATTTTATTCTCAATGTAGAAGGTGCATGATAACGTGTACCTTGTTAGCGATTGCTCCTAAACTAATAAATTGAAGTCTAGTCTGCAACTCTGTGTTTTTCAATGTGTAATAGAAATAAGGCCTTCTACAAACTTTCTAAATTCGTTGGTGGAAGCAAATCCATCAGAAGGAGACTAGCTGACAGCAAAATGAAACCCAAAATGAAAGTTTATATACTTTATGGAGTTAAAATATAATATGTCTTAACTCTATAAAGCATGGTTAAAACATAATCAACCGAAAGTGTCTTACTGGACCCCTCCCTTTACTTAGATGGGAGTGGTTTATTGTTTTGTGGCTTATGACTTAGCATTTGCATATTTACAATAACCAGTAAATTTCAGAAACTATGATATAATTCCAAACAAATATCCGCAATAACTCATTTAAGTTTGGTTTTTGACTGAAATAAGACAAAGACTAAGCAAAGAACATTCATTGACTTCTACAATTCTGAGAATAAAAATCTAACCATTACCGGTATTAATTTTAGAAACTGATATATGGACAGAATCTAAATTTTTTCAGAGGTTCCTAAGTTAAAATAAATCCTTGGTATTAATCACATTTCCCTACTCAAGTACTCGAGATCAAACCAGCATCAGTAGGTATTATTCCAAGTTAGATAATTTTAAATCGACCTCAGGCCTTCATTTCTTAGGTACTTCAACTAGTCTTCACTGGATGTGTAACAGAAGCCTACAAAGAGAGCTAAACAAAAAAAAAAAAAAAAAAGAAACAGAGCACCTGAAAAGACGAGAGCCTTGACTAAATAATCGAGAAAGACATCTGGTAAGCATCAGTAAAAACCCCACCGTCTAAGATTGGTCAGAGCCTTCAGCTAACAAACGACCACGCTCGCAGAGAACTCGAACCCACTATCCCTCTCTTACACAAAAATAACAACCCAACAGGTTTCTCTCCAAGGCAGATAATTTGAAGCATTGAGACATGGCATTAATGAAGTTATGGAATGAGAAGTTATGGCATTGAGACATGACATAACTTCTCTGAAAACAACCCCTTCTACTATTTTCTTTCAAAATCAAGTTAATAAATGTATTTTTTCTTTATATACTCATGAAAAAAAATTCCTTAAAACATTTGAAAAAATATTCTATATTGCGTAATTCTTCCTTTTTCGGATACTATTTTAAAACTACTATGTTTCACCAAAAGATATAAGTCCCGCAGAGGACTGATCGTTAAGACACGGTTCCCAGCAGATCACCGAAGTCAACTAGTCAACCGGCATCACTAGTTACGGTCAGTGTGCGGTTGGGTGATCACTTGGATCGGTCTGCGTAGGAACCGAGGGTGTGCGGTATTGGTCCTCGTTAAACTGTGCTACCGTAAAGGGCTCAAATTTGCATGAAGGTCGTTGAGCTACCGAAGCGGGGGGGGCCATCCCCTCTGCAGAGGATCAAAATTGTGATGGCATGTCTTCGGATCATCCTCAGGGATGTTTCCCAGACCGTCGCCAATAGCCCATTGTGCACTATAAACTACAACTACAACCAAAAGATATAAAGCACGAACAGCATTAAAAAATCTACAGAAGAAAACATGTTTTTTCGTTTCTTGTGTAATTGCAGAAGAAAAATTAACATGTGTCTAAAATTAAACTCTTTTATCACGATAATATGAAAATAAATTCTTTAAGCATGCATAATAAACATTTAATTTCCTTTTGGATTCAATGAAATCTGTAACTGCATGATATACATATTTGTTACTTAATCATAGCCAAAACTGAAAAAAAAATCAATTAGACGTTTTCTGCTCTCTTTAGAGTAACAAGATTTTATTTAATTTCAGATGAAGTTTCAGCAGAAGATGAAGAAGAAGCAGGAAGTGAGCTTAGAAGTAAGCTAATATATCAATGTCATTTTGAATATATATAAAAATGAGTACAGTCATCCAGAAAGATGATTGATTACTACATTTAATTTCATTTAGAAATAATCCATATCTTCTTAGCTTTCTTTTTTTTAAGCTATATAAATATGTCTTTACTTCACATTTGATTTTGTACCAATGTTTCTTTTCTTAACATTCAGAATCCGTATGATTAATGAATGTGCAGTTTTATAGGTAGTATACCATTTAGAATTACTAACGATGATGTATCGGCTTCAGCTCTGAAGATCAGTATAATTTCATAATTAAATCACTCGCTATTTTCCTAATTAAGAATCAAGAATCGTTTTTCTAGTAATTTTTATAGAACATTCTGTTACACTAAAACAGAGTTGAAATGTTTTGCATGGTCTTTTATTTTACATTTGGAATGATTAAGAATTATTTGAGGACATTTTTATGCATTGGTTTCATCTGAGGCTTAATGTAATTTCCTAATTAAATAACGTATTATTACCCTAAATTATTTTCTAGGTTCGTTTTACCATTTATCTAGCTATAACTTAGGACAAAGTTAAAAGGTCTTGCATGGTCTCTTATTTCCGATTTGGAAAGATAAAGTAAATTTAAAAGTTATTAGAGAACATTTTTATGTATTGGTCTCATCTTTGAGGCTTAATGTAATTTCCTAATTAAATCATTCTTTGAACCAATTTCCTAACTTAACAAAAACGTATATGCCAATATTTAACTAAAGACAACCATTTAACTTATTTTTTCCAACATTTTTGTGTTATGTGAAGCATTTTGAATATTAAAGATATAAAAATTTAAAATTGATCAACTGCCCCATACTTAAACGATGCAATCATTGTAACGGTTTATTTATACATTTCAGTTCATTTTGTTCATTTACACAAAACGTGTGGGAACACGTTTTCTCTTGTTAGCTGCTACAAGAATCAGAATTTGTCGTTATCATTTATCTATGCATGTCTTGAAATATAACTTGTTGTCGACATCGCAGTTGTGACGCTATTTCCAATTAAGTATATTGGAGTCGTAGTGGCTCAGGGGATAGAGCACTCGCCTCCAAATGAGGTGACTTGGGTTCGATTCACTGGTTGACATGAATTCCTCACCTACCTCACATCGACCATAGTGCTGAAGTAAAATATCATCATAGGTAGATCTGTCATAGGAAGTCCCCTTGTCGTCAAGCCAATTGTGGAAGCTTTTCGTGGTTTTCCTCACCATGTGAACGCAAATACGGTTTAGTTCCATCAAAGAATCATCCGGGAAGGCAACTTTCTCCTAACACTTTTTTCTGGAGTTCCCTTGTCTTCTGGAATGGGTTCAAATTTACGAGACTATGCAGTTGAACATGGTAGTGGTTAAATCAAAATTGGGTCGGCTGTTAAACAATAGTTATAAAATAAAATTAAGTATATTGAGCTGCCACGACTCTTCGAATGATGCAACCTAGGTTCGAATTCCAGTGGAGGCAGGTTGATAGGATTTCTGCTCCCGGCTCACAGTGACAGCAATGCTGACGTAAAATAATCTCAGTGGCAGAGATGTTGGAGTCTCTTAGCTGTCGGGCTAACCATGGGAGGTTTTAGTGGTTTTCTCCTCCGTGTAACACAATTTCGTGTAAGTTTAATTAAACTGTCCTCTAGGAAGGCTTATATGTCCCAATGCTTGATCCAGCTAGGAGTTCCCTAGGCTTCTGGGTTGGGTTCTAAATTTACAAGGCTACGGAGTTGGAACATTGATAGCCATAAACCCAAAATTATGTCGGCTGTTAAACCCCGCTTATAAATTAAAATGTTAAATTAAGTATATTTTATGCAAATAAATGCATTACATAATGCATACAGATTTTATTTACGCGACTCTGTAAGATGAATTCATAAAACAACTTATATCGAATACCATGCTTTCTTTATTTCGAATTTGCTTTGAGAAAATGCACAATTGTTTTTTAGTGTTTAATATTTTCTCTATCCTTTCTCTTTCTTTTCTTTTGAATGACAGCTACTTACAGGTGCTCCTAAAAGGGAAAAAAAAACTAGGAAAATTCTCTCTTCGGAAAAGTTGATGTTTGGCGTTCGAAAAGGAGTGGGAAAAGAGGAATCATTTAACTTCCCCTTTCCCATATGCTGGAATCTCTTTTGGTATTGATTCTTGGGAGCTAAGTATGGGGTCCAACTTTCAAGGTCTCAGTTTTGAAGTGACTTCGTTCCCTAAGAGTCACCATTTTCGATCTTTTAACTTTTTCAAGGCATCCCCGTGGTTGGCTGAGTCTAATATTTATTTCTGAAACTATTTTTCTTTCTCTCCTTTTTTCGATTTTTTCTCTTGCTCTTGGATTGTTAACTATTTCTTCTGAGAAGATGATCTGAGAAGATGATTGATGTTTCGGTTAGTTGAAAACTATTTTTTTTTATTTATCTTACGGGAAGTGTTTTTAAGGATAAAAGTGAAAAGAAGCTTTTTTTCAGTCAGTAAGTGAATAATTTTTAAAATGTTGTTCGTAGAAATGAAAGCAAAAGAGGAAGAAACAGTTTTGAAACACTGTTGTTTGATAAAAAAAATGTGATGCGTGTACAAATAACACTGATAAAAACGAATTTTAAAAAGTTACGGATATCTTGGTATCCAAAGTATTTCTAAGACAATTGAAATATGATTCAACATGTGGAAATCATTTGTCTACTCTGCATACCGTTTTTTGGATATACTTTACCAACCATTAATATTACACTTGAGTTATTTATTGTTACATTGAGCATTTATGAGCATGGATGGCATTAGCTAAAGAAATAAGGAGATTTAAATCACATAACATAGGTAGTAATACATAATTCAGGATAAAAAAAATCACATAAAATCCATGCATACTGAAAATACTTCATTTATTTATTTCTTACTTTCTAAGAAGTATACTTTAGTTTAATCCTTCAACAATTATATGAATTATATGAACAATTTTATGAATTTAACATACCATTCGATTTGGTCTGTTGATCTAGTTGAAAGCGAATCTAATGAAATTAAATATATATTTTAATGGAATAAATTTTTTTTAAAGATTAAATAAAGTATGAGGATTAATTTAAAGTTCAAGAAAGACACTTTCCGCGCTTCATACTACTTGACTATATATTTAATGTTCTTAAAGAGCTCTTAAATTTTTCTGAATTCCCATAATCACACCGATTTTATTGTGATAAAATAATGTTCAATTTCTGAGATAAAAAAATTTTCAATACTTTTCCATTTGGAGATTTTTTTAAAAGAAAATACGTAAAGGAAACATTTCATAAGTTTTGTTAATACTTTTATCACAAAACTAACCTCCTCGGAATCGATTGTTAATAAATACATAATATACACCGAAGAGCCATTACATTATGACCACCCTGCTAATAACATGTAGGACCACCTTTAGCCCTCAAAACTGCTAGCACCCGCCGTGGAATTGATTCCACAAGGCGTTGATGGGTAGTCTGAGGTATCTGTCAAAAAGCGCTCACCATCTGGTCCTGCAATTCCCTCATATTGCGAGGGGGTAGAGTGGCAGCACGAATTTGGTTTTCCAAGTAGGACCATAAATGCTCTATGGAATTAAGGTCGGGTGAATTTGGGGGCCAAGACATGACTTGGAAACAAGACATTCACTTGAAGTCCCTGGAATGGTCCTCGAACCAATCCATTACGATTCGACCCTTATGACATGGTGCATTATCCTGTTAAACACCATCCCCCGCAGGAAAAACTGTTGCCATGAATGGGTGAACCTGGTCTGCAACTATGTTCAAGTAACTTACAGGCGTCAGGGATTGTTCTATGAGGATTATGGGTCCTAGTGTGCCCCATGAAACCATGAATACCTGGGCGAGAAACCATGAATACCTGGGCGAGCCCATTGTTATAGATGGAGGGTGATCATAATGTAATGGCTCTTCGATGTATAATGATGTTAATAAGTATATTATAAGATTATATTACTCAAAATTTACGAAAATCAGAATATGAATTAAAAGCTCTTATTTTTCAAGCTTCAAGTTTAACTGCATATAAATTAGTTTTATTAAGTTTTACTTACTTTGGAATAAATGTTTATCGAGATTAAGAACATGATTTTGCAGCTTGAATAAAATTTGTCATTAAATTCATGCAATTTTTAAAGTAGGATATTTTGGTAAATTTTTTCTACTACTAATTTTAACGCCAATTTATTTATTGCCAATGATGCATATCGATCTAATATGGATCAAGCTAACTAGTGTTCTCAAAAAACTGAAACACTGAAAGTGAAATTTTTGAATGCATATTCAAAAACTCACCCCCTTACCTCTCCAATTACTTAAAAAAATTATTTCGGTTAGAGAATCTCTTTAATAGAAAATATTAAATTGTAACTGTGAGGAATTTAGTTTCTTACTACGTAAGCTAAGGAATTTTACTACCAATTCTTTTGTTTAGGAGGGATGCTAGAGAACCCTAAAAATAGGTACTACTGATTGAATGGTAATTGGTGCTGTTTTATAAGGTACCTGGTAATACTTACTGTCGGTACTCTGGTAATACGTTTTTATACATCCCGACAGGGTTAAGTACCGTAGAAATTTTCTTGATTGTGGTAACTTTTAACTGGAATGGGTCGACCTCCTGAAATAGCACCAAGTCGAATGAATATAAATACAAATTATATATTTTATGTGAAGGAATCCTAAAAACATGTTTGCTTAAGTTTGTAACAATAAGCCCACTAGGTAAACCGATAAATATTAATAAATAAAACTGGTTTCTTATAGTTTTGAGTATTACTTCTTAGTGTTGATCAATACAGGTTAATAATTATTTACTTTTTAACACCGTACGAAGAGTATTTAGCTAGCCTATAATAGCAACATTGAGAGTAGGCCCGTGTGTATATTTTTTACAACTCAGAAACTTATAAGTGATTGTCTTAAAATGTGGATAATGACTGTAAGGGT